CCAAATTTTCATAAACAGAAAAATGCCAGCTGAACTGGTCCTGAATCTGTCTGTTATCATTTCAGCAGTATTCCACACTGTCAGATATATTGTAGTATCAAATATGACCCTTTGATCCAATAAAAGTTAATAGTTTGAAATCTTCCTCAGTCTACCATTTCCAGGGAACAACAGAGCCACAGTAAGGGGAAGAGAATCTATAGTTCTATATGGATGGACCAATTGTTTCCTCCTGCTGCATCATGTGCTCTGATATACAATCCTAGTAGTTTCTGCAATACACAACCCCTCCCAACTTCTCCTCCATTTTGACAATATAAGTCCCTCTCTTGCTCCCATATGCCAGCTAAACCTGTTCTGGGAGTTCTGCTGACTCTCCAGAGCAGATTTAGGGGGCATAGCAGAAGAAGATTCAACTCAGTTGCCCCCTGGTTTCTGCTCACTTTTTGTTGTTTAGTCGTTTAGTCGTGTCCGACTCTTCTTGATCCCATGGATCAGAGCACGCCAGGCACTCCTGTCTTCCACTGCCTCCCGCAGTTTGGTCACTCACTGTTATTTTACTGTCCTATGGAGTCTGAGATTTCTTCCTCTCATATGTTATTTTAATTTGTTCAGAATAAGCAGATACCTAAGAGTGTACAAAATAAACTATGGAATATATCCGGGTAAGTCATACTTTGAGTAAACCCACTGAATTCAATGGAGATGACTAAAGTAAGTCCATTGATTTAGTTGGATACAACCCATTGTGTGCATGTGTAAATCAACGCACACAAACATCGTTGCTCATTTAAAAAAACAACCATAATCCCCTCCCCCCAAATAATCACAGGATAGTCTACTAAATACTAAAAGAGGAGCATGTGTGTATAATAGCAACTGTGAGAAGCACTGAATGAGGACAAAAACTCAGAACTTTCCCGGGGTTTCTTCTTGCAAGCTTACCTTTATATTCACTTGGATTAAAATGCTGTTCATTGCATATATGATATTGCAATTACGTGTGTGTTGTATCTATTTCCCAGTAATTAGTATCCTGGGGAGGAATTTCACTGCTACTGTAGTTATTTAATCTAATAAAGTGTTGTTATGAAACCAGCCTTGAGGTATTTCTGGAACTATATTAGAATGAAGTAACTTTAATGTCTGTAAGAATATCCATTGACCCTGACCTCAGATCCTGTAGCTGGAATTACAATATTTCTTGAGATGTTTTCTTTGCAATCTTGTATATCCTCATCAAGAAAATAACCGCAGGCACACTTTCATGATTCAATTACGAAAATACAAAGAGTGTGGGAATACTGCCATGTGCTAACAAGAAATAAGAAAATAGTAATCTTACGCTGAATGTCAGCCATGCAGAAATACATAAGAGAAAAGGAAGGAATCCCCAGGGATTTTGTTAAAGCTATTCCTTATTCTGCAAGAACCTCTGTTTTCAAACACCTTGCCTAGGGTACATTATGATCTGGATTGACATGGGGCTAATCTAGTAGGAGTCTGGTAAATCCTGCCTTAGTGCAAAGGCTGGATCTGAGTGACCTCCTTCTGATCCTTTCAATCCTGCGATTCCCTGTTTCTACACTGACTAGAGTTCAGTTTCTCCAGCAAGAGAACTTGACTTCCAGTTCCAATTTGTGCTTTGGGAAACTGGACTGTTCTAATTGATTGCTACTATAAACTAGTATGATTGACAGAGAACAGATAAATTGATGGCAGTTTTGATGTGGATGTTATCATTTATTATAGTATTGGGACGTATACTGCATTCATGGAAGTGGAGGTTTTTTTTGTTCCATGGAAATTGCTGCTATCCATTTGGAGCTGACTAGTGTTTCAATCAATCACTGAAGCAAAGCTTAAAGCATCTCAGATTTGCAGGGCACAAATTCACACTCTTACCGCAACTGGTAATTTGTGCATTAAAAGTTCAGCTCTGGGTAATCAAATTTGGCATCTTTCTTTGTGGGCTGTGTCCTCTTCCTGTGGCACTGCTGAAACTAGACTTACAGCCACATCATTTGTGGCTGCACTCATGGGCAAGCTCCAGTGAACACAATGAAACTTACCACCAAGCAAACAGGCATAGCATTTGTTGTAAAGCCACCAAGCCAGTGTCACCCACTCCTAACTTAATTTTGTGCATGACTGTTAAGCTAAACCCCAAGAAAAATTAGCAGTACTATAATTACTGGGTTGAGTCCAAATTTCCTCTGAGCAGAGTTCCACTGAAATAATTACCCTGTTGTTGATTGAAAGGCAATTTTCACAAACCCGTCATTGCCCTTTCAGCCTCCAGTGCCATCCAAAATCTGCTCCAGAGGGTTGGGAACCTTTAGGAACAGTGAGACAGTGCTCCCACCTCCATTTAGTGGGAACCTCCATTGGAACAGAGTCTATTTGGTAAAAATAAAGAGTCTTTCCATTTGCAGAATGGCAGTTCTGGATCTAATCCAGTACATATTCCTAAATACTGGGGGCAAGGAAGTATCACCAATTATGTTAACATCTGAAGAAAACTTACAAAGGGTGGTGATTCAGATATTTTAAAGGAAATATTTTTAAAAATGATTTAAATTTGCTATAGCTGTCTGATTTCAGTTCTGGGTTTTGACCAACATGCCAAGGCCTGTCTTACTGAACAGTGAAAACTTTTCCTAATGGCTGAAGTGAATTTCACTGCAGCATTTGTTCATGCTCTCAAACCATTAGGAAACAGAAGAAACATGCAACTCTTGGTGCTTCATGGAAGAATCTTTAACTGAGCTCCTGGGAAAGAACATCCAGTCTAATTCATTGCTCAGTGACTAAGTTAAAACTGTACAGTGTAGTAAAATAGTCAATTATTGTGCTTTATAAAGATTGAATTCCAAATATATAGGGATAAATTTGTGTGTTCAATGTGAATGTTCATTGGCACCGGGAAATTAAAAGTGTCACCCATGAAATTGTAAAACTCATTAAAGCAGAGTATCCTTTGAAAAGTTACGGATTAACTTTATTACCAGCTTGGTGATAGCAAGTCTGCTTGCTTAAATCCACTTTCTTTTGGCATCCCTGAACATTATCAAACCATATTAACCAAATGTGATTGGAACAAGGAAAAACTTTACTTCCTGCTTCATTTTTTTTATTTATTAAAATCAAACCTGAAGGCACATCCACTGGGAAGGCTGATACCAATTCACAATGCTTACTGCATTTGCTTTTTCCTCTGTATTTAAAGCCTTCTATTTCTTCACTTGTGTAGATGTGTGAAATATCCTTCTTTTAATGCCCCCGCCCCCCACCAGCTTTTAAGGTATGGAATCAAAAAGGCAAGAGTGACCTCTAGTGTTCACAAGCCCATTAGAACTTGAGAAACAGCTAGTTCTCTCCCATCACTGCATGAAGAATGTCATTTGTTTAAAATATATCCCCACCATTTTAAACTCCTATAAATTGCATCCAGGGAACAACACACAGCCAAGCAAATTTTTTTTTAAAAGTCTAGCAAAATGCATCTCTTTAAAAACAGGTTTCATATTCTAGAGTAATTCCTGGAGTGCAGTTTGGATCCTCAGCTACTTCAAAGGACAGATATGACCTCTGTCATTTCCCCTGGCATAGAAGCACTTGCACAAACTAACTCATACCTAGCAGTGTTTTCTGAACAATTCCATTTAAATCCTGAATTTTAAACACTGCCACTGTATCCTCCTGTTCCCTTCATCTTCTAAAGCAAAACAATGGCATATATGACACTCTTGGGCTACAATTCTCAGCAGACTTCCAGGGGATTGATGCCCATTTGGCTCAATGGGACTCAGCATGCTAATTGCATGGTTAGCTATCCACAGTCATGCTAAACGATCATCATGGCAAAAGCGCCAAGGCTGAATCTGAAGAAAGGTATATATCCATGCTTGCCTCCCTGTTTCTCCCTTTTGCAGTGACACTGCACTTCACAGAACATCTTATCACAATAATTGTCTCCTAATGCCTTGTACAACATCAAAAGGGGGTCAATTCCCCCACAACACTTAAGCTGAGGGGGGTGCATGGGGAGGACAGGTGTTATGGGGATTTCTTATCAAATGGAGGACACAAGGAGCCAAACTGTATGCCAAACAGCTTTTAAAAGCAAAAATGTATAAAAAGTACCAGTGTCTTAGTCCTATCATCAGATTTGCACCACTGTTGTTTTTCTTTCTTTCTTTTAAAATCCACACCAACCCCTTCATGTTATGGACTCGTTCAGTCACATGAGCGTCCTAAGTCTAAATGCCACGCTGTGTCAAGATCTGGCTTTCTACATTCCAAAATATAGTTAATCTGCCCTGGCATGGGAAAAATAGACACCAGGACTGATAGGTGAAGCAGCAAGATGCAGTTAGGATGGTTCAGATATTTTCCCATGCCCTGCCTAAAAAACCCCCAAAACAAACCAAACCCAAAAGGATTCCAGTAAGGGATGGAGAGGTCGTTCCATGAAGGTAGGGTTACACAGAATTAAGTGGGGCGCAATCTAGTTTGGCAAGCAGGGGCGTGTAGTTATGAATCGTTAAACACTCAGCAGGAGAAGGCAACCGAGGTGACTAAAGGCATTTCCTTGATATCATCAGCGGCATGAAAAATGCAATCTTAACGCAGGAGTATAAATAAACAGCAGTTTAAATGCAAGTAGCAGGGGGAGGTAGGGGAGGCACTTTTTAAAAAGAAGCCCGAGGCACATATATCTATTGCAGAGTGGAAAGGATGTGCAGATTTCCTGCCATTCCAGGATGGAAGGCCCCCATCACCTTAGTTCCTCAGTGATACAGAGAGGCCGATTTGCAGGGAATGCACTTAAGCGAACTTTAGACGCGGGAGCCACGCACCTTGCGCTCTCGCTCTCTCTCTCTTTCCCTCCCCTCCCACTACTACTCCAAAGAGCATCCCCCCGCTCCAGACCTCCCCGTCAAATGTTGTGTAGGCACCGGGTGGCTGCGAGATACAGGGCTTCCTTTGATACTTACAGTTGGTAGCTGCTAATCCAAGATGCCAGAAGCTGAACAGCAGCAAAGTCAAAACGCTGAAGAGTTGGGGGATAGGATCCATTTTCTCGTGCCGTCTCTGCCTGCGTAATCTCCAATTTCAGAGAGTGGCTGCTGTGCCTTGGCTCCCTTACTCCATCCGGCATCCAGGCACCCTTTTGGAAGACGCCGGAGAGGGAGAATGCGAAAGACACCTCTGCCCCTCCTTACCCAGATCTTCTCGAAAGCAGCAGCAGCAGGTCCAGAGAGACACACAGAGAGAGAAAGCAACTGCGCCTCAACGCCAAAAGGCACTCATAAGGCAGGTCCTGAAATCCACCTCCAGGAGCTGCGATAGGGATTCAGCCAGCCTGGAGCTGAACAGCTCCTTATAGGCGCGAGGAGCCGTGCGCGCTCACTCCACCTCCTGCTCAGCCTCCTCCTCCCCGTCACACCTCCCGCCTGCTAGGGAGGATCCTTTCTCATTACTATTATCAAGCCCTGATGATAAGCGTCGGAGTTACAGTGGAACTTGGCTGCCCAGAGCATCTTTCTCTCTCACTCACTCTTAGTTAGGGGGGCTAGCTAGTGTATCAGCCGCGACGGCGCGGGGTGGGGGAGAAGGATAGCACCCAAATGAAGGTGGGGATGGAACGGAGGACAGGCGGGGGGGGGCGGTGATTTGCAAATCTCTGTGTGGCCCTGTCTGCAAAGGAAGGAGAAGGGAGATCTTAGAAGATGAAAGGTGCAGGAAAGAAAAACCTCTCTCTCCCCCCTCTATTTATCTATTTTAATATTTCTTTCTTTTTCCACACCGCACTGCATTCTGTTTCTTTATTATTGCAAGTTGAAAACTAGGAAATTTATTGTGGCAGGAGTAGCTCATTTCATAGGCTGCGTGAAATGGACAGCGTTGATCATTCTGCTTTCTCTCTCTTTCTCACACATAGAGGGAAGCGGGGTGGGGGGAGGAAGGATACCGCTGATGAGGCTCTTTCTACACACAGAGAGAGGGAGGGGGCGTCTTTAGCACAAGATGAGATTTGAAAATGAGTGAGGGGAACGAATGAATGCCGATCTACTGACTGGAAGCAGGGTTACCATATATTTTCATGTGTTGATCATCTACCCGTGCAAATACAGAAAAGCACATCAAGCCATTCATTGCAACCAAACCACAGCACCTGTGAAAGTCAGTTCCTGAGCTGGAAACCGAGGCAGTTATTGGAGCCAAGTTTCTGTTTGACGGCTTGATTCATTTCTGACAACTGTCAGAACCGTTTTGCTATTATGTAGGAAAGGAGGAAGTGTCAGACTGAGTTTCCCCCTCCTTTTTTTTTTCTCTTTTGGATCAGTGATTCCAGGTGGGGGAAAATGTTGTCTCTCATTGCTGATCATCCCACTGCACTTCTGCTGTCCTTTCTAGAACCTTAGCTTAATAATTCCCAAGGCTTAACCTTGTTGCTTTACTGCTGCTTTGGATCTCGTCAATTGCAGGCTGTATCAAAGATGGATAAAAATTACATTAGTGATCCCAACTTTAATCCTTGAGGAGAGAATTTATTTGGAGCATTAAGGTCTTTGTTGGAAGTAATTTGCTGGTCTACAGCCATAATAAACAAACCAGAGAAGGGTCAGAAATAATTAGCGGTTTTTTAGATCACTTGCCCATATTCTTATGATGGGCCCATGGAGAATGGAGCTCTAAATTGCTGGCATGCTGAAAGAAAGAAGGCGGTGAGAGAAAACACACACTTGGGCTGTTTTGTGTGGGAAACTGCTTGCTTAGTGATTAGATAGCCTGGAGAATTAATAAGCAACAGCAAACGGGATTTTGAGCTTTAAATGGACAATCAAACAAAAGCTAAATCGCACTTCTCTATGGGATTTTTTTGAAAGAAAGAAAGAAAGGACAAAATGCTGCTACAAGGATTCCTTATGATAACTTTATATGAAAGAGAGGAGAGAGGCAATAGAAATCAAAGTCCTGTGATGAGGTAGGGAAAATTGGTTAAGTTTCTAATGTTTTCAGTTGCAGAGGAAAGATAAGCACATGGCCAAGTGCTAACACCCCCAAAGTGACGAAAACAACCAACAACAAAGCATGAATCTCATTGGATTCCTTGAAATCTCATGATTTATAAAATAAATACCATTTATTATTATTATTAATTATGCCCATATAGTATCACCAATGTACAGTCATGGCACTTTGCAGAGTGACAGAGAAGGACAGCGGGGGAACAACAACTGCCAACCTCACAAGCAAAAGTTTGACAGAAAGGAACACAAGAGAGGGAACACTGGTGAGGATAAAGGCTGGCAAAAGGAACAGAGGAAGAATAAATCCAGAAGCTCATGACATCCATTTCCTTGAATGCATGAGTGGAGGGGGCAGAATTGGGGCTATTCCCATTTACTATACCCTCAAACCATGCATATTCAGATGAACATGTGGAAAGGACCTCTATGGAGGTTCAGCTATGCACATGAAAGAATCTCTTTACGCACCTTAAGTTGAATGTGCATATTTGGTGTTGCATGTTCTGCAGGGTTCTGCAGGCATCCCATCATGGTGCTGGGCCTACAAGATCATGATGCGGCTTCCCTCTCTTTATGTTCACTGAGCACATGCAGAGGAAGTAGAGATGGCTGTGCATAGTGCTGGCAGGAGATAAGCTCTAAGAGGTTGGGCCAAATGAGTTATCAAAGAGGTGAGCTTTGGAGGAATAGCTTGGAGGCAGAAAGAAGAAGCCACCATTACCCACTTGCAAGCCGTTGTGGCTGGGGTGGTGGTGCCACAGATGACTATTGCTTACCTGGATGGGGCAGCAGTGGGAACACCAGATTAGGCTCTTAACAAAGCAGGATTGTGCCACGTGTGTCTACCTTTGATGTAACAGAAAGGAAATAAACAAGCTCTCTGATTCTTTGGAATGTGCAGGTAGAAAATACAGGTGGGGCCTGAAACAAAATGTTCCTGCTCCATGTTTCAGCCAATCAGACATGTTCTTTTCAATGAGACTCCATTCTGCTCCCCCTTCCACCCAGTTTTCCACCTCCACAACAGTCAGCCAGCATTCTGTGTACACCAGGCTTCCTCAACCTCAGCCCTCCAGATGTTTTTGGCTGACAACTCCCATGATCCTAGCTAGCAGGACCAGTGGTCAGGGATGATGGGAACTGTAGTCTCAAAACATTTGGAGGGCCGAGGTTGAGGAAGCCTGGTGTACACTATACTCAGTCCTTAGTAGCCTTTCTCTCCCCTTTTAAGCTGCCCCCATCCCCGCAAGGAACTGATGAGCAGCCTTAGGCAAAGCTTCCTGAGATACTCAAAAGGGAACAGGCTATTCTTCAATATTTTAAATAAAATATTTCCTGCTTAACTGTTCCTTTTGCCACTGGATAGGGATACCACCAACCTTTTCAAGCTCCAAACCTGGACATACGTCTTCCGGGACACATTCCTGAGAGAGTCACATGACCCACGCCTCACTCTCTCCCTGAACAAAGCACTTGGGGCAGGTGAGAGGGCAGCTCTAGATTGTGCGAGCCCATAGCACCCAAAATGGCCACTGGGATCTTGCAGAAGAAAATGGGATTTCCCATTTTTTTTCTCGGGGCACTTCGCAGGTATGGATAGGGCAGGTGAAGAACTGGGCTTTTGAAGTGCCACAACCCCCTGAGCTGATGACAATCCCCCCCCCCAAATGAACATAAGGAAACTGTCTTATGTTGAAAGAGACTATTGGCCCATCTATTACACTGACTGTCAGCAGTTATTCAAGGTTTTGGACAGGAGTCTTTTCCAAGCCTACAGGGAGATGCTCTCTGAGGATTGAATGCGGGCCTCATGTGCTCTGCAGCTGAGCTTGGGCCCTTCCCTTAAGGAAAGTGCCACATGGTGAGTGTGGTATTTAGAGAAGACTCCTGGGTTTTGCAAAGTATAGTTTCCAACTTTGTTGTTGTTGTTTAGTCATTTAGTCGTGTCCGACTCTTTGTGACCCCATGGACCAGAGCACGCCAGGCACTCCTGTCTTCCACTGCCTCCCGCAGTTTGGTTTCCAACTTACCTGAGAGTATAGTGTCTTTTTACATGCTAATGGATAAATCCTGCTTTCCCACCCTATTTTGGAAGCCTGGTGATTTTCATTCTATGGTTACGCTGATGATACACATTAAGGCTTCAGCCAAATCTACTCAGTTTGCCTCTATTCTTTGATAAGAACTAACTTGAAAGGTGGACAAGGTAGACAGTGTTTGGTCTCCAAATTATGCTAAGGTTAATGAATCCCTTGTACAGATAAAAAACTATAACTGAAAAATCCTAGCTGGGAATAGAAAGTGCAGTAAAATTATGGTGATTTTGATCTGCTTTTCTCAGTCAGTTCATGCTATACTTTACTCTTCAAATAACCTATATTTCAACCATACATTATAACAACAGCAACAAATCCCTTGCAAAACCATGAAGGATTGGATTCAAAATGTCTCTTCCATGTATAGGAGAGCTTCTCCTGTGTGGTGCGCCAGATTTAGCTCAAGATCCTTGTGAGAGAAAAGTGAATTAAAATTAAGAGCCATGCCTCTGCTTGCACATTGAAGTTGCATAATGTCTTGCACAACTTTCAGTGTGCTGTTATATAATATGTCACATATAATATGTCACATATATGTCATTGTCACACAATGAGTACTTCCACTCCTATTTTATGGACAGGAATAGTTCAAGAACATGCTGGCAAATTCAGATTACACAATTACAGCTGATTTGCTTGTGCAACAAACTTGCTTCCTTCTGAAACTGGATGCTGTTCCATAAAGAGAGTATAGAGAAATGTACTGGAAAGCAACGCAGAAGGAATGCTCCATAAAAAGGCAGCATTGTCTAACCTCCCTGCAAACTTTGTGCCAATAAATCAGGATGAATGTTCAATAACCAGCTTGCCTGAAAGTGACTGAAGTCTGATGCTACCTCTTGCAAAACTGCTCACAGAACAGTATGGCTGACAGAGTTTCTTCCACCAGCATAGGGGTAGAGAACCTGTGGCCCTCCAGATGTTGTTGGCAGGCCCAGCCAGCGTGGCCAGTTGTCAGGATGGCAGGAACTATAGCCCAACATTTGGAGGGCTACGGGGCCCTCCCCTCAGTCTTATCTGGATTGAACATCATTTTATTGGCAGTCATCCAGTCCATTACCAAGGCAAGATAACAGTCCAGCACTACCACTGCCACACCTGCAGATGTAAAGGATCAGTAGAGAATTGTGTCATCAGTATATTGCTGACCACGTACTCCAAACCTCTGGTTCCTGTTTTCAGGATATTTCTCATATATGGGTTTGAATACCCTTATTTCTTCCTGATAGTGACTAAAGTGGAGTGATTCGTTG